CTAACGATGCGCCCAACGGCTGGAGATAATGAGCGGTGAAAACGGTATTTTTGGCCCGAAAACCGACCTCAAGAACTCGCCACGTTGGCTGCGACCTGCCCTCTCGCTTGGATAGCTTCGGGAACCATCGCGTGTTTCCCTGCAATGATGGACATAATGGAAATGAATACTCTGGTAGTAGATTGACATAGTAGTGATGACCCCCACCGCTGTGCCCACCCTCACGCTGGAGTAACATAGCGTGGATTAGTAAAGCCTGCTAGTAAAATGAACGTACAGACGCGTCTACATGGCGCTATACCACGCACCGAGGGTAAGCACAATACTGACGCGACAGAACGAGAGAGGCGCCAGCCAAACCGGCATATGTCGCAGTCGGTTTTTAGACAAAAAACTACCCGATTTTCCCAGCTCATATCTCAGCCGGAAGGCACGTAAGGACACGAGGTTTGGTTATAATATTAGCAAGGGACGGACAGCTGAGCAAGCTAATACGCAGCAAGATCGCAAAAAAATGGCAAAGTTCTTAATTCGACTAATACTGCAACATGGTTAGCATTTCGCGTTGTTACCGCTCTCCTGTCTTAATACGCTCTGATATAGTATATGATAATAGACCGATGAGAAGCTCATTATGACATAAACCGCCTGAGCTGGCCCATCTAACGTCCTGCTAGTCACTGGATAAGATGGGAAAGTTCGACACTCATCTAATTCGGCTGCCACAGGCCGGGGCGCTGCGCGAGCAGGCAAAGAATTCCAGAAGTATTTTTTTCTTTACTTTAGTATAAGTTATAGTTCTCTTTATTAGTAATTCTAATTTATATATTATATATATTTTATTATATATCATATATTTATTCATAGTTATTAGTTATTATTAGTTATATTTATTTATATATTATAGTTATTCTACGTTTTCTTTTTGTTATTCCTGTTATACGCGAGGTTACCAGAAATAGTTCTTATCTAGACACAAATCACCTCAAAGCGAATCGCATCGTAGGGACAAGCGGTTTGTTTTATATTAGCAAGGTAGGACAGCTGATCAATAATACCGCAAATAATCGTCAAAATAAAACGGCAAAGTTTCTTAATACGACTAATACTGCAACATGGTTTCAGCATTTCACCGTTGTACGCTCTCCTTCTTCATACACTCTTGATATATATATATATATATATATATTGTCTACCTTATAGCACTTTCCACCTTGGTTATTTTTTTGTTACTATGTTTAGGAGTTTAGTTGAGTGGTGTAAATTCACCTAATTTCCAAAACCAATCAGATTTTGGTAGAGATACATAGCCTTTTCTGATGTTTAAGCTGGGTGATACAAAGTGATCTCTTACTAACAAATTTAGTAGGCATAGTACACATCCTGGCTACTTGCTGCATAACCATATATCTTATACTTTTTCAGAAAATTTGGGACTGACCAGCCCAGACTATTACTATTACCTTAACCAGAGTGGCTCATACGTCGTTGATGGTGTCAATGATAAGGCAGATTACCAGGAAACTTTGGCAAGTAACAGTCCAACAAAGCTGCTGCCATCTACCTAGTGTTTAAATAAAGCAGCATATAAACTTGATATGTTATGTGGGCCTAAACGACATTCCGATCTGTTCCCTTAAGTGTTTAACAATAAATGTAGCAATAACAGCACAACTAGTATGTCGGCATGTACGATTGAACCTGTGTTAGCATTGCAAACACTTCTAGAGACAGACACCTGCATACAAAATAGACTTTTGGGATTTACCTTCAGTGGCGGTTACATTGAAACATGTATATAAGAGTTGATCTAGGGAAACCCCTAAAGGGTAATTTATAGATAGGTGTCCATTCTATAGATCAGATGTGGTTTCTCTGTATAACTACCACTCATGGGAAATGACAAAAAGTATTTTGTTTGCAGATGTCTGTTTTCCAGCGGTTTTTCCTAACACAGGTTCGAATGTACATGCTGATCTACCAGTTGCTCCATTATTGCTACATTTATTCTCCCTCGCATGTCCTTTAAAAGAGTCCTCTAACACAGGTTTGATCGTGTCATCTCTATGGAACTGGCACTGTTTCTATAGAAGACATTTCTGCGCGTTCTGTTGTTTGACCCTCATAAATGGGGTCGACTGTATTTGCATTTGAAGATGACATGTCTTGATGGTTACTGGGGCCATGATAAAAATATTGTTTGTTTGCCCTCACCCGACCGACCCGCCAAAAAGGGGCCGACCCAAAAAAATTATTGATTTTTTTTTTTTAATCACTACATTATATAAATCTGTAGGCAATACATTATATGTACCAAGCAAAACAAACATTCAACATAAAAGGTATCTCCACACAAGCACACACGAGCATGTAGACACCATGCTGAATTTGTAAAAATATCCCCGCCCTAAAAAAACAAACCGACCTACCTACCCAAACTTTTCAGCCTGGGTCGTGTGAGGGCAAACAAAGATTTTTTTAATTGTGGTCTGCTGCTATTCAGAAAGCGATGGGGGTGATGGAGATCACTGATGAGGGACAGATGTCAGTGCTGCAGATCGCTGCCGGAATCCTGCATCTCGGCAACATCAGCTTTGTCGAGCACGGAAACTATGCATCTGTGGAGAACACAGACTGTGAGTACCTTCCTGTCTCTAAGTCCTGCCTATGACATCCACCAGCCATATCCTGCAGATAAACTCACAGTGGCTTACTGGCAGTTCTACTTCCTCTATATATGCATGGGAATAAAGCATGTGGTGCCACACACCTCTATAGAACAAACACCTGTCTATCAACCATATCCTATTTATCTATCAATTATGCTTTTGTGTTCTTCCTCGAGTGGCAGTTTAGTTACACAGTGAAACCTCTGTAGATTGGACACAAGAGAGTCTATAAAGGACACTTTGGCGATTTCCATTTATTGACTCTAATATACAGGATTCACTGTGAATCACACTTAAAAAGTGCTCTCCATTTTCCAGCGAAGGACGGGGCTTCTCTATTAATTAATTAATTAATTAATTAATTAATTTATTAATTTTATTATTTATTAATTTTAAATTATTAATTATATATAATAATATCATATATATATATATATATAATGTATAATAATCGTTATTAATTATTTTATTAATTATTTAAAATTATGGTTCTTGTTCTTGCAGATCTCGACTTCCCGGCGTTCCTGCTGGGTGTTAGTCCGCAGGACGTTCAGACGAAGCTCACAAGCCGCATCATGGACAGCAAGTGGGGTGGGAAGACAGAGACAATCAATGTGACACTGAACGTGGAGCAGGCTGCCTACACGCGCGATGCTCTCGCTAAGGCGCTCTACAGTCGCCTGTTCGACTACCTGGTTGGGGTACGCGTCTGTCGTCGTTGTCTTAAATTGACTACGTCACGAATTTTCGATTGTGTATATTTGTAAAATTTTTGTTGCAATTTTTTTACATGAAAAGTAAGTATACTAACGGCACTAAATGTATCCTCAAATTCATACGTGATGAGATTGTTTTCAACTAGTTAAAAATCCAAAAAATCTGGGCGATTTGATATATTGATCACTACATTATGTGCTTGCTATGGGGCTATGTATGAGTCACGAGTGTTTGTTCACATCGAACTGAATAAAATAGGAACTAATGCTACAGTCGCCTGTTCGATTACCTGGTTAGGGTACGTGTCTGTCGTCGTTGTCTTAAGCCAGTGCCACCTTCATCCACGTGTTGTCCTGGGGCCCGTTGTCAGAAACAAAATTAGTCTTAACACTAACATTTTCCCGTAGACTGTCGACAGCGCTTTGTTTCCTATTGTTATGAGGTAATCTGCTACGATTTTCCATTCAGGCAACTTCGCAACGTTTCTGTCGACGGTCTAAGAGAAAAAATTAATGTTAAGACTAATGTTAAGACTAATTTTGTTTCTGACAACGGGCCCCCGGTCTGTAACACTGCTGGTATATTATCTGCTGATGGGCTGAGTCAGAAACAATGTGTGCCTGATTGCGTGTGTGCATGCGTGCGTGCGTGCGTGTGTGCGCATGTATGTGGTGGCGTGTGTGTGGTGGCATGTATGTGTGCCTGTGCGTGTACATGCGTGCGTGCGCACGTGCGTGTGGCAGTGGTGCGTGTACGTGTGCGTGTACGTGCGTGCGTGTTCACGTGCGTGTGTTGGCGGTGTGTGTGTGTGGGGGGTGAGGTGTCTGCATATGTATGCGTGCATCCGTGCTAAAAGAAGTGCCAATCATTGAGGTCCGTGACTACTCGTGTGAGAAGAGATAGACACGTCGATCCTTATACTTGAATCTTGACATTTCAGACCGTCAACAAGGCACTGCAAGAGAAGGGCACAGATCTAGCCATCGGAATTCTCGACATCTACGGCTTCGAGATCTTTCAAAAGAATGGCTTCGAGCAGTTCTGCATCAACTACGTTAACGAAAAGCTGCAGCAGATCTTCATAGAGCTAACGTTGAAGGCAGAACAGGTATGGGGACGGCTTAATTAACCTACCTATCTCAACGGGATAACCACACTGCTCTCTGATAATGATACTAGGGTTACTCATGCTAGATTAGCCTATACATGTTTTACACACGTACACATCAAACTGTTTTCTTTACGGTGCTTCATTGCCAAACGTTGTCTCTTAGAGTATCACAATAATGATGGACAAGATCAGCCAATTACACTTGGTGGATCGGTAAATTAGAGAAGAAGTTTTTATTAATGGTTAGTAATGTAAGCATCAATAATCAAAAGTCTTTTTTATTATCCTTGCTTACATTACTGAAATTACTAGCGAGCAGGTGGTTAGGGTGGGAGAGTGATGGGGGAAATTAACAAGAAAGGGGTCCAGACAGAAGGAAGGTAAAGGATGAATGGCTTAATACTAGAGAAGGTAGTGAAACTCCTTCTTCATGAATATATACTACTTTAAATTAGATGTGTCCTGAGATTTTTCTGTATACCTATTTCAAGTCTTTCAGTGACAGCAGGGGGTCTGACGCTGTGTGTTTTCTTTGCAGGAAGAGTACGTGCAGGAGGGTATTAAATGGACGGCTATCGACTATTTCAACAATAAGATTGTCTGTGAGCTCATAGAGTCCAAGGTTCCACCTGGAATCATGTGCATTCTAGATGACGTCTGTGCCACCATGCATGCTGTCAGCGAAGGCGCTGATGAGACCCTTATGCAGGTAGGTGGTGCTGAGAGAGGATGCACAGAGAAAGCAGAGTGAGAGACAGTGAGATGGAGAATGGAGAAAGAAAGGAATGCATGTGGAGGAACATAGAGATGTGATGATGCAAAGAGTATGAGTGGGGAGAGAGAGTAAGAAAGAGGGGGGGAGAGAGAGAGAGAGAGAGAGAGAGAGAGAGAGAGAGAGAGAGA